TCTATTCAAACACGAACACCCCAATAAAGTTCAATTGGGTTTTCGCTTGGGTTATGTTTCCCAGAAATCGAGGCAAACTGCAAATTTCTAAAGATGCGTTGCACGTGTGTCGGTACCCCAAGTACCGGTTAATGCCCTTCTGGTACTCCCACTATCTTTCAACCCCTCTGTATCCCTGTCTTCATTTCCTAACAAATCACGATCTTCTACTTTTTATCTAACCAATCAACCTTTTCCAATTTGAATTTAATTCCACCCCCAAACTATTTCCTCTACTTTTCTACTTTTCTAATTTTCAGAAGTTAAGTCATTCTTTCAGACAGTTGCAATTTGGTCTTCAATCTAATCAATCATTCGCTCTCTCGGTTCGTGTTATATTTTCATTCATTCCAATTTTATACAGTCCACTCTCTACATAACTTAAGTTTTCTTATCAATTTGTTTTTGTTAAAGTGTTGTTAATCCTTAGTTAAGTGTTGTTAATAAATAGTTAAAACCAAGTGAAGTTTATATCACCAAGTTACATTTGCGTAATTCCTAAAACTGGCCCCTACATCTACATAAAAGTCGTCAAACTACGGCGACAACATTTTTGGTCCTTCGGGCCGGATCCAAAAAAAGGATTACGCAGAAAACTCATACAAGGATTTACGATCATCCAGCTCTACAGCAGCGAGTCCAGGACTACAGTAATCTTACATTGGACATCGACACCGGAGCCTGATTTTTGGTAAGCTCATTACAAACTACCACTAATCCTCTTTATTTCGTTTTTCCTAATACGTTCCCCTATTTTTCTAATACAATGGCTGATCTCGTTTTGCTCAAACGCAAGCAAGTTGATGTAAAAACGCGAATAACCAAACTTCGTAATTGCATCACTAAAAATCAACAGTCGCTAGATCGAGATCTTATTCAAACAAAGCTCGACAAACTTAAAACACAATTTGCAAGCATGTACGAATTATTTGAACTGTTAGCAGGAGTAGATCCGGAAACGCAGGAAGCTCTCGCCCAGGAAGTAGAGAAAATCGAAGATGACTTTGACATAGTCATCACGGATGCAGCTCGTGTGATAAGAGGTAATGCACAAAATATACCCTTATCCGCTACAGCCGATAATTCCCAGTCCCGTTCAATTGGTAGTCATCTGCCAGAAATAAAATTGACCAAATTTGATGGCGCAATCGAAGATTGGCATTCGTTTCGAAGTATTTTTACAACAAAGGTAGATTCTAAAGAGCGGATATCAGACTTAGACAAGTTTTATTATCTGCAAAATTCATTAACTGGTAAGGCGGCACAGATGATAAACGCGATAGAGTACACGGCGGAGAATTACAGAGAAGCGTGGAATATACTAATAAAAAAATTCGACAATTCAAGACGGGCTATATTAAAACATTGGACGATCCTACATGAGTATCCGCGATTACAACGCGATACTCCATCAGCGCTAGATGACCTCACAGTGACCTTTCGCCAGCATAACAGATCTTTGAAGGGTTCGGGTGAGCCAATAGAGCATTTTAGCAGTGTATTCATATTCCTTTTAACAAATAAAATAGGTGAAAGCACTAAATTTGCATGGGAAACTACATTACCCGACAACAAGATGCCTAACTACGAATCGCTGTTGGAATTTTTAGAAAGGCGTGGTAGTTGTTCGGAAAATTCAATCAATAATAAAATTGATAATTGTAGATTAGGTAATCGAATTCCTAGAAATGACAACAAGCAGGAGCAGCATAGGGCTAAGGTTTTTGCTACGAAAACCGATACAAAAAGTTACAATTTTTGTCCTATATGTAAGCAGTCACATCCGATTTACAGATGTGAATCTTTTATAGCGATGTCTTATGACGATCGCAAACGGGCTGTTCAGCAGAAAAAACTATGCAACAATTGTTTAAGATCAGGGCACAGTCTAAACGACTGTAAATGTAGCTGTTGCCGTTTCTGTAACAAAAAACACAATTCCCTATTGCATCGAGATCAGAGTTTATTGACCCCTATTGCTTCTACTTCCGCTATGCTCCATAATGAAGAAAATTCTAGGCATATTCCTTCAGCATGACTAGACCACAAGCTATTTTTATTGAACTCTGTAGAATGCGAAGATATTCTCCCCACAGCATTTGTAAATATAGTCGGCAAGGATAATTTCGAAATCTCTTGTCGCGTTATTATCGACACAGCATCCAGCATCATTCATGACTTAGCCAACAAATTGCAACTCACAAAACGTAAGACATCAATTCCTATTAGCACGTTAGGGGAATTGACTACAACATGCAACTATTCCGTTATTGCAAATATTAAATCACGATACAACAATTATCAGAAAACACTCGAATTTTTAGTGATACCATCCATTACAACTTTCATGCCGGATCAAAACATAGATCGCAAATCAATTAATCTGCCTAAAAACATACAATTGACAGATCCATTATTCAACAAGGCAGCAGCAGTACATCTTCTTATTGGTTCAGGACCTTCATTATCCACTCTATGCGTCGGTCAAATCAAATTGTCTTCTACAGAAGAACCCGACCTGATATTGCAAAAAACCCAATCCGGTTGGATAATGGGAGGTTGCTTACCTTTGTACACAAAGGGACAAGGGGGAAAATGTCACCTACTAAAAATAGAAGCAGACATTTCTCGATTTTGGGAGCTAGAAGATGGACCATCCGAAAAGCGGCTGTATTCTGAAGAAACGGCTTGTGAAGACCACTTTATTAAGCATGTCACACGTTATCCAAATGGACCTTACATGGTGGCATTACCTTTCAACGGAAAACATTACCAGCTTGGAGAATCATTCACCATGGCATTAAAAAGGCTCCGCTCACTACAGAAACGATTGGCAAGGTCTCCGGAGCTCAAGAAACAATATTTCGCGGTTATCAATGAATATGTACAACTTGGCTACATGAATAAGATAACCGACCCCACCGTCAAAGGATATTATCTTCCTCATCAGGCAGTTTTGAAGGAAAGCAGCATGACCACAAAACTTCGTGTGGTTTTCGATGCGTCAGCTTCCTCGAGCACGGGTGTCTCACTAAACGACACGCTCATGTGCGGCCCTACAATACAGGACGATATATTTTCATTGCTCCTGAGGTTTCGTCTACATAAGTATGTTCTCAGCGGAGACATAGAGAAAATGTATCTTCAAATTGCAATCCAAAAACAAGATCGACAATTACTGCGCATTTTATGGTCTGAAGAGAACGAATCGATAACTACATATGAATTCAACAGGCTAATTTTTGGACTCAAACCGGCCTCATTCCTAGCCACTAGATGCTTGCAGCAACAACAGACGATGAGGGCGCCAAGTATCCTGTAGCGGCTAGAATTTTAAAGCATGATCTATACGTGGACGATCTGTTGACTGGGACCGATACGATTGAGGAAATAATACATCTAAGGAGAGAAATTGCCGAACTATTATCCTGTGGAGGTTTCAATCTACGACAATGCGCCTCCAACTCCAAGGAAGTCTTATCTGGTATTGTTTGTAATACCAGATAAGAATGTCAGTTTACAGCTTCAAGGCAACGATGGTACTTCACTTAAAACGTTAGGGGTACATTGGCATTCATCTCAAGACACCATAGTATACACGGTCCAGCCTACAAAAACTGTCAAGACAACCAAGCGACACGTTTGCTCCGAAATCGCACGAATTTTCGACCCGCTTGGGCTTCTCAATCCCGTCGTCGTAACAGCCAAATTAATGATGCAGGAGTTATGGAAGCTGAGGCTGGATTGGGACGAATCTCTGCCACAAGAGATCACCACTCGATGGAATCAATTCACATAACAACTTCCATCTCTCAACGGAGTCGCATTTCCTAGAAAAGTTCTACGGCAATCCATACAGGAAGTTCAATTACATGGATTTTCTGACGCTAGTAAACGAGCTTACGGCGCTTGTATTTATTTGCGGTCACTAGATTCTTCCGGAAAATTACATGTGCAGCTGTATTGTGCCAAGTCCAGGGTAGCGCCATTGAAGAAAATACAAACTATTCCGCGTCTCGAACTGTTTGGTGCATTGCTTCTAGCCGATCTATACAATTCGATAAAAATTTCCATAAATGCAAAAATAGATCGAGCATTTTTTTGGACTGATTCAACTATTGCGTTAAATTGGATCAACACTGCGCCACATTTGTTAAAGGTATTTGTTGCTAATAGAGTTGTAGGTGTTCAGTCAAAAACAAATACTTCAAATTGGAGATACGTGCCTACACAAGACAACCCAGCGGATCTTCTATCTCGTGGTCTTATGCCCAGCGATTTCGTAAAACCGACATTATGGCGAGAGGGTCCGGCGTGGCTCGCGAAATCACAGGAATTTTGGCCTCAACAACCTATCATCGAACCCAAGGAACCCTTAGAGATAAGAAAATCTAAATGTTTAAACACGAGTTGCGCTGATCTTCTAGTATTGCACAAGTTCTCGTCATTTACTACGTTACAACGTGTAATCGCATGGTGCCTACGTTTTAGCCAGAAACCGCGGAATAAAGGGAATATCACTGCGGAAGAAATCAAACATGCTCGAACTAGGATTGTGAAACTAGTACAACAAGTGGAATTTCAAGACGAAATAGCGAAACTGCAGAAAAGACAGATGGTACCCAGCAAAAGCAGGCTGTTAGCACTCAATCCCTTCCTGGACAGTGAAGGAATTATTCGAGTAGGAGGACGTTTACAAAATGCTCCGTATATATACGACAAAAAACACCCGATTCTTTTGCCTAAATCGAATTACGTAACAAGACTCATCATCAGATACTATCATAATATCACTTACCACGGTGGCATCCAAGCAACTTTGTACGCGCTTCGCCAACACTTTTGGATCATTGACGGTCGAAGTCAAGTTCGATATGTTCTTCGTCTTTGCGTAAATTGCACGCGCTTTAATCCGCCAAAAGTTGATTATATTATTGGCAATCTGCCTGAAGTAAGGACTCAACAAGTTCGTCCTTTTACAAACGTTGGCGTCGATTACTGTGGCCCATTCTTTATCAAAGAAAAGAAAAACAGGAATCGCAACAAAATCAAGGTCTATGTGGCGGTTTTCATCTGTTTATCTATAAAAGCCATTCATTTAGAAATCGTCAGTGATCTCACCACTGAAGGTTTCATAGCAGCTTTAAAACGATTCATTGCCAGAAGAGGACTTTGTGAATCTGTCCATTCGGACAACGCTACAAACTTTGTTGGCGCAAACAAGGAGCTGAAGCAAACGCTAGCTCTAATCATGTCGGAAGAGCACAATAATAAAATCCAGCGATATTTGTCCAATCAAGGAATCGCATGGCGATTTTCACCACCTCATGCACCGCATTTTGGAGGAATATGGGAAGCGGCGGTTAAGTCTTTCAAACATCACTTGCGAAGAGTAGCTATTCAAAGAACTACAGAAGACGATTTTAATTCATAAGTATTTAGTATTCATTTTTGCAGGTTAGTTTTTAGGTATTTTCAATTTTTCATTTATGTATTACGTTTATCATAGTTATAGTTGATCGCATAGCTTTCAACGGGGGGAGTATGTTGAGTCGCAATATTCATTTTGTTATTTGTGTATTTTTCAGCATTTATTTTTANAGTTATTTTGCATTTTATTTCCTGACGGTTGGCAGATCATGCAATCAGGTTCCGCCAACCGTCTTTTAAGAATTTTTTCTATTTTTTTTTAAAGGATGACGATATGGTGTAAGAATTTATTCCTTTTCGTTATACAATGAGAAAATTAATGAAGAGAACTTGGTGGAGTATGTGGAATGTAGATATGTATGTGCATTCAGTGTAAAAAGAACCGGAAATTATTTAAGTCAAGAACGTAACCTTTTCAGTAAAACTTATTTTGTCGCCTTCAAAATAGGCCCCAATATGGCTTCACCAGGCATTTGACCCAGTCATCTATTTATACATTTTCCGTAGACTAGTTGGGTCATGGCCTTCAACTCCTTCAGCGAATTTTATTTTATGGCTTCATTTCGTAACGTCTTCCAGAAGTGATAATTTCAGCATCGGCAACTGGAAAAAGTAGGTTTGACCAGTATCGATAATTAAAGAACTTAAAAGACACATTCACGATTCATATCCAGAGCTGTCTCCCATTCATACGACTATTAACGAGTAACCACATTCTTGATCAGATCAGTGTTTTCATTGTTCACAGCCGTTGAAGTCTACCAGAACGAAAAATCAGCTACAACTTGTCGTCCATCTTTGAATACTTTATGCCTTTCATATGCTCATCTTTTTGAAGTGAAAACTGCTTTAGCATCGTTGTGATTTGAAAGTCGGTGAAACGAAAAAGCGACAGTAAAAAGAGACACACACATAAATTCATAATCATTTTTATAATAAAATTCCTCAAATATGCCGAAAACGAATGCAGAATACTGTAGCGATCTTGAAACCAAAATTTTTGAAGGTTTCACTTCTACTAAGTGTTAATTGTACATATGTGTTGAGTCGCAATATTCATTTTGTTATTTGTATATTTTTCAGCATTTATTTTTTTTAATTTTAGTAGAATGGTTATTTTCTTATTATTGTAGTATTTTCAATTGTGTACATTTTACGGCAGTAAGTCTAGGAATTTGTAGTTTGCCGACCTTCGAAGTTCAACAAATTTTATGGACCGTTGTGTCGAGTTCTATTGTAATATTCAGTTTCTTCTATTCAAACACGAACACCCCAATAAAATTCATTTGGGTTTTCTCTTGGGTCTGTTTCCAAGAAGTCAAGGCAAACTGCAAACTTTCTAAAGATGCGTTGCACGTGTGTCGGTACCCCAAGTACCAGTTAATGCCCTTCTGGTACTCCCACTATCTTTCAACCCCTCTGTATCCCTGTCTTCATTTCCTAACAAATCACGATCTTCTACTTTTTATCTAACCAATCAACCTTTTCCAATTTGAATTTAATTCCACCCCCAAACTATTTCCTCTACTTTTCTACTTTTCTAATTTTCAGAAGTTAAGTCATTCTTTCAGACAGTTGCAATTTGGTCTTCAATCTAATCAATCATTCGCTCTCTCGGTTCGTGTTATATTTTCATTCATTCCAATTTTATACAGTCCACTCTCTACATAACTTAAGTTTTCTTATCAATTTGTTTTTGTTAAAGTGTTGTTAATCCTTAGTTAAGTGTTGTTAATAAATAGTTAAAACCAAGTGAAGTTTATATCACCAAGTTACATTTGCGTAATTCCTAAAACTGGCCCCTACATCTACATAAAAGTCGTCAAACTACGGCGACAACAAGAGGTTTATCGTAAATAATACGTAGTTTATTCATCTGAATGGCTACGAAATTGGGAGTGAATATCTTAGAACTTTTGAAATTAGGTTTAGCTATTAAACTCTCGGCACTAAGAGAGCGTCCAGAATTTAGCCAATGACTAACTAATTTCACATCTACTCGTTTATCAACGTTCTCCGTTCTCTTTCCGAAAACACTGTTATTCATTAGTTTGATGAATGATTTTCCAAATTTATTTGCAGACAAATTACGTTGTCGCGGATTTAAGTTGATGAAAGGTTTAAGCCAGTGGGACTGTTTAAACTGGATAACTCTGTGAACTATAAGTAATTTTGTCCATTGTGACGGACTTGTTGAAGCGTAGGATAATGAACAACATATTTTGTCTTATTCATAAGGTTCGGTATCAGTTTTTTGACTTTACAATTCACATTAGCAGGAGATATAATGTTTTCAACTAAAAAGAGCAGATCAGCATGTAAATCATGGAAGTGTTGGGGATATTCAACACCTACTTCAAGTACATAACCATATTCAGAAGATGCATATAAATAGAGAACATTCAATTCATTCACGTTCTCCTTTTTGGAAAAGTTTTAACATATCGATATCAGTTAGAAGTTGTAAACTAACGCGAGTGAATTTTAACATCCTATCCCACGCAAGCCCTGACGGAGTGTAATACTGAGCAGGGTCTAAGTCGTAAGTGGTGAGACATTTGTCGGAAATTCTTGAAAACATTAGCTAACAAAAGAACATCTGTTTTCAAGTAGATATCAGAGTATTATCCGGGAGTTGAACATGAGAAAGTATTCCAAACAGTTTTAGCTCTTTTATAATCGTCATCGCAAACTGGGAGGGAAGTTAATTTATCGAAGAAATCTTCTTTCTGCGGAAACATTGTTTCATCAAGCTTAGCAACATCATCAACGTAGGAATAAGGGAAAACACCTTTCCGTCGCACAAGTTAAAAGTGATGAGAATCAGGAAAGTGCTTTTTCACTTGCAAATATTGATGAGGATCGAGTTCTTCTGACAGCTTGTAGAGGGAGGAATCCATGAAACGAAAGGAATCGAGAAATCTAATCTTCACGAATACATTTTGTGTTGAGTCGTCTGTTTCAGTTTGAACCTTATCATCTCGTAATAATTTTGAAAAGGAAATGTATTTTTCTTTATTTTGAGCTATTACGGTAAATTTAACATCGTTTGCAGCAATTTTCTTTAAAAACAAGTGATAATCATATCCGGAGAGGTTGTGGAAAAGAACAGGCACAAAGTTGGGTAGTTTGTAATTTAAATTACATCTAGAGTGAGCGGCCCCTAATCGAATTTTACCGGTCAAATGACAATAATCATACACCTTGACGTCATCGTCCAGAAAGGGTTCTTCGTAAATATTGCAAGAGGTAGCGTCGGAGACGAGACATATTTATTCATCTGTCAGGGGTACCATGGGAGAAGCAATCTTCAAATATTGATGATAAATATCATAAACATCTCGATCGAGAATTGTAACAAATTGATTGGCACAATCGGGCTCCCGATATGATCTGAATTTGGAGAGATTCCCTCTCCCTAGAAGAAGCACTTCATCGAGTAAGCAAAGGAATGGGGTTGATGTTTGTGAGTGGATATGGTGGCGTTCTTGTTAGGGTCGTGAAAACATGTATGAATAGGTTGCAATACGGTTTCAAAGTCTGCGTATACAAGAAATGGTACTTTGATAAGCAAAGGTAACTGATTCCCTCCTCAGGAGGTGAGCAACAATTTTGCTTACGCTGTAGGGTGCGCAGGTGCCCATATGAACATAAATTTTGCTCGTTTCACACCAGCGGTCGGAAGAGCTGGCAACACATTTCGGTTTTTTTATTCGGTAAGGAGGAATTAGGATGGTACTGTACTCGTTTACGACACGAAGCTTTTTGAATTGTCAGATCTCGTAAAGGACGTATTGCAATTCGGACAACGAATCATCCCGGTTAGATGTAACACAGGTGTCTCGGAAAAAAAGAGGATGATCGTGTGTGAAGTACATTTAACAATGTAAGAAAGTGTGAAGGAGTGGGAGAATATGAAAAACGTGCGGGTATTTAGAGGAAGGGCAGATGATACTTAAGAGAGATGTATAGAAGAAGCCATTAAATGGAATGGCTGATTTGGGACAATGCGATGCGGCTGATGTGTCAGTGACTAGCTTGGATGAGTCGGAGCTGTCAGTGATGCTAAAGTTCATCCATAACGGTCAGTTGGAGAGCAAGACAGCAGCGGTCGGTGGAGGAAAATCATGCGTAGGAGATATAGCTACGGAACGGATAGCCGTGCCTGCAGCTAGTACATCGCAAACGGCGGTAGAGGACAGTAAATTCGTAAGTATGAAGCCTAAGAAGCGGACGTACAACAGAAGAATGTCGACCGGCCGGTTGCATTATTAAAAGCTTGTGGACCAGGTGCGAGAAGCAGTGAAGACCATTCAACGGGAGAAGCGAAAACGGGCAGCTGAAATAAAGGACCATGACATGAAGGACGATTCAGTTTTGGAACAAATAAAGCGGAAAGGCAAAGATTTGGAGGATCTGAAGAAAAGTCCTGAAAATAGCTGTAGGTCGGTGGTAGAAGGTAGAAAGCGAATGGAAGAGGTGCAGCAGAAGTTAAATGAATTGCAAACACAATTGTTGAACATATTCAATTAATACTGCAAATATAGAAAAATAAAATAAAGATTGTATTATACGATGATTTTATTTAATAATTTTAGTTTTAAGAAAATTATGTTGAATAAAGGGAAATGCAGTAAAATGTGTTATAGCATTCAGCAATCTGAGGGCAATTGAACACCAAATGCGTGCTTGTAAATTAGAAGCTCCAATTTGTTAGAATCCGGGACTGTTGACATATAGATTGGTCTGTCATTCAGTCATATATGTGATTAAAGAAATATCTTTGCTTCAGTAATAGAAGTGGTATAACATTGTATGTTCAAATTGGTACCACGAACCAATGGTAGTGATTAGAAGCCTCACACCGTATTATTGTTGAACACTTTCAAGATCACTGTAGTTTAGAAGGTGTAGGAAAAATAAGAAAAAGTGTAGTTGTTGTAAAGTTTATTGTAAAAATTACATTTTATTTTTATTTGAATGACTATATATATACTACACAGT